TCTCTAATTAAAGGTAAAACTTTGGCACATTTAAAATTTTAGATAGAAACTGGCTTTATAAGAACTAAAGCGCTCCAGGACACTACCCAGCATGAAGGATGCTATATAAATGCAAGGTTTTGTTGAAGTTGTTGTTGGTTCCAATATAATTACAATCCATTTTATAGATTATGGAGAAAATGGCTTGTGTAACTTTAGTTCTGCTTTTCAGGGAGGTTCTGCTGAGCTCTGCTGATGGCCTAATAGTTAAAAGCAATAGATGGTGCAGTTAGTTATACAGACCAGATGGTATCAGGTTCAATTCCTGGGTTGGTGATTGGGGGTGCTACAAATTGCCTTAGCCACCTAGTGATAAAGATTTTTGCCTACGTCTAGACTTGCTCTATTTTCAGAGCTTCCAGAATTTGGCAGATTGTCAAATTCAACCTAAACTTCAAAGTCAGTTTTCTACAGTTCTTAAAAGAACTGATGGAAAGTTAAGACTGTATTTCGAATCTGCCAAATTCTACGTGTTCTGAAATGTTACATTAAATAGAATAAATCTAGACCCGGGTGGAATTCCTCCCCTCTCCATTGAGCAGAGACTTTCCCAGTCAACCCTCAACTCCGAAGACACCATCGCGGGAATGTTCAGATCCCATTGTTTTGCCGTTCGGAAATTGAACAGCTGTTCTGAATCCAGTGCTGCAGATGTTGCTGGTTAGTGCTGTGGTGACCAGGTGAAACATAAACTGGAACCTGCAGGGTGGGAACGTTCTTTGATCACCTTTCACTGATGGTCACAAATAGCAAGTATCGAACTGCAGGAGAAACCTGGGGCCCAAAGCGTCTCGTGGTCTTAGGGTCAGGACTATTAGCGTAAAATTATAGGTGGTACGGCCATGAGAAATATCAGTCCTCTGATGCTAAAGAGCTTTGGATTTCAAGTAAAAGTTACAGTCACGGAAACCTACTGAATCTTACCTCAAAGACTGCTCCCCCGTGTCCTTAAACCATTCAAGCATTCCTCTGCCTAATGAATTCCATAGAAAACAAGTTAATAAGCCATTTCAGGTCTCTGAACAAATTAATGTGGTTACCCAGCTTCCTGCACACATAGTGCCATTCAGATATCAGCAGATACTATCAGTTCACCTGACTGGAAGTAGAAAGCATAAGCATGGGAAAGGTTTTGAATGTGCAATCATCTTAAATTTTGTGCAGCTGTACACTGGGAGGCAAAGCAGACTACAATTTACAGTAACTAATATAATTCTGTTGTAAAGTTCCTGGTAGGAGTGTGCTGGTGTGGCCCACTTGTGCAACTCACTCAGTGCTGTGGAAACTGTTCTCAAGTTATGGCTTGTCTAGACTTTTATAAGCCCTTTGGCATTTTTGTTCTCATCTTTCCAGAGTATGAGTGGTTCACACCTGATGTACAGTTCTGGAAGCAACAGAGAACTTTGGAAAATGAATTCCTGATTTGACAACAGAATTGCAGTTGACAAATAATGTGGCGTAGTTTCCCCAAGGGCGTAGCAAGTTTATGCAGTGAGTAGCTAAGTCATACAGAACAGATGGTCTGGCGTCAAATAGAGCCACAGAAGAGGCTCCACATTTGAAGGAGAATGGTGGTGCTACAATGTGCATCTTTTTACTCTGAAGTATGTTTTCCAGAACATTTTAGTATTGATAACAAAAAGTTTGCAATAATTCAGATCAGGGCAATAGTGTGTAAGGGAATTCTTTCTCCTGGCGTTTTGACAAACAGTAAGTGCTCTGTAGCTCAATGAACAAACATTTAGCAAGCAGCTAACATTTGAATTTAGCAGCGATTTATTTCATGAGAAAGTACAAAATTGATCAAAAGTTTCCCAATTTAAGAGTACATTTTGCTGAGGGCGATTCCGTCAGAAATCACCTGCTGGAATTACATTATTTATATTTTGTCGCCCCCGCCAGAAAAGATCCACTTGAATATATCTGGCAGATTGCCATTGCATGGGTGTTCATTGGCATCCTTACAGGTTCTAGTTGCAGATTGTGGTGCACAAATGCCAGTAAAAGTTTTATATCAGCCAAGACTTTCTTTTGTACTCAACATTGTTGACTGATGTTCTTGTGGAAAACCCAACATTGATTCACTTTAGAGGCATCAATTGTTGTCATTACGTACTCAGGTTAGTTGTGGCACTGGTTAGACGGACAGGAAAGTTCACTCTACTCTGCTTTATCTTATAATCTCCGAGGAGCAGCCCTATCACTCTCATAGCACATACTCAGCTATTCTCACTCTCGTTCCAGACCACTGTATTGTGTAAAGGGTGACCTTTTGGTATCAACCAAGGAAAGGATCAGGTTCAACTTTGGTGATCTCCACGGTGGAATAGACAACGTATATTACCTAGTTTCGCTGATTTGCGTGAGATACCAGAGTCCTGAAATTTCACCTATTCTTAGCCTCAAAGACCATATTGTCTTAAACATATAACATTCCACAGATTTGTAGAATAAATCTACCCAATAGTGGATGTACAGTGTGTAACAGACTCTCCTGGTTATTCAGTGAGGAAATGCTTGAGTTGGAAAATGGTCAGAATTTCTTACTTGTTTGCTCTCCCACTCATTGCTGAGAGAAGGACTTCAAGCGATCGAGCAGTTTTGAATGAAAGAAGAAAAGATAAGCAAAGTGCCTTCAGTGTAGGTTACAAACTATCCTTTTCCCTCTGGAGTCAAGAGATTGGCAGGCAGCCTTGACTGATTGTACAAAGCCTTCTTACTAAGAGTCCCATGTGAAAGGGGGTTGGGCTGGTCTCAAAGGGATTTCCAGTAAACTATAAGTGACGGCATAAAACTGTCCACAGTTTTCCCAGATTGAGCAACTCTCTCACAGAGGCCACAGAAACACGTATTGCAGGAAATAAAAAAAATTGCACTGATGCGTTTGGGATTTTGGCACTTGTCAGCACTGTCATTGAAAACTGTCACATTCTGTCTAGTTCATGGCTTGGAGACTGCTCAGAAAAGGGCTCCATTCTCCAGCATTTCTTACTAGAGATCACAATTTACAGAGAAGAACTGGACACAACTAAAGAAGAAGTCTTTCCCCTTTAAATAGAGATTCACCCCTCCTTTTTGCCAACCACCTCTCCCCCTCTTCTCAGGCTGAGCAGGCGATCTGCTTTTATTGGTTGTGTTGGATTTAGAGTATACCAATTATAATAATTATAATCATAATAATTCTCTGCAATACACATCCATGAGACAACAGCAGATACAAGGAACAGGAATCACTGCTGCAAAATCCTATCTGACTTCTCTCTGATCCACTGTAATAAGTAACAAATAGCACTGTGCCGCTGAATGTTTAATAGACTAGTTATTCCAGTGCAGTGTAAAATAGAGCATTTTATACAAAAATCTGATAGAGATAAGTTATTTAATATAGAAATTTGAGCTTTATATAAATTAATGCAATGTGTAAGGATGTAACTCTTTGAAAGTTTTAAAAATATAATAATTCTTCCATTGCACAAAACACCATGGATAAAAATGATTTTAACTATTTAAATGTCGGAAGGGTTTCAAAGAGAAGGTCTGATTTGCATTGTGCTAAAAGGCACAAGTAGTCTTATACCACAGACCCCGTCTGTCATGTTCACATGATCGGCGAGCAGACTGTAATTTGCATTTCGTTAAGGCCCTTTTTTTATTATTAGCCAAAAGTGACGTATTAATCGGCTTTAAATAACGGAAGAAAAGAAAGAGTCAAGAGCCTTCGTGTAATTACTTGATCTGAAAGGAAGAGCTGAAACTGTGCTGACAGCACCTGTCCTGTACTGTTAACATTTCATGAGGCCTATTGTGCAGCTTCTCCTTTCATCTTCAGTGTTCAATTGACAGTTTAACTTCCTTCAATAATGGAACGTTAAATAATGAGAAGGATGCATGCTATTTCTGCAGTGCCAGAAGGTTTGTTCCAGATTAAAAGACCTGTGTTACTGTTCAGTGCCTTGATCTTCAAGGTGCAGGCTTTGTTGCTGTTGTTTTCTTGCCCTTAGCTTTTGAAAAGGGGATCAGATTATTGAAAGTGTTTGTTTTAGAGTCTGCATAACATGGATCATTATGTTGTCAAAGCTGCAAGACACACTAGTCCCTGGCCTCATGCACAATCCTGCACCTTCTGCCTCCTCATCGGTGGATGATCCTTCAGCCGTTTTCTGTAACTGTCGCTCTAAATCCATCCACTTTGCACACATCCCTCTCCACTTTCTGAGTCTTTATTAATAATAATCCTTGCGTTAAATACAGAATCTTATCATGTCATTCAATTTCTGAAAGCACTTCACAGAATATATTGTAAAGTGAATTGATTGTGTATTTTATGCACAGCCAATTGCAGACAGCAATGTCCTACACACAGTTGTGGATTGAGTGACCAATTTTTTCCGGAGGGATTATTACTCCCAGAAAGCGATCCGCCAATCAACCAACCAATCAGCCATGTTTCTACTTACTGCTAGGTCAGCAGAGGCATGTGGAGTAAGGAAACTTGCCTAAGGTTCCACTCCGCCCGGGAATCGAACCTGGATCCTCTTGCTTGCGAGGCGAGCGGGCTAACCAGTACGCTACTACACTCCTTTAAAAAAAACTACCTCTTTGACTACTCCTTTGGTCATGTCACCCATCCCTCACCTCAATCTTCCACCTTGCTCACTTCCATCTCTAAGAAGTACTGGGAGGGGTTTCAATGTATGAAAGGTGCCATATAAGTGCAATTTCTTTTTGCCGATTGCAGTTTCACAGTAGGTCAAATGTTTGCTTGCTTATATTCTAGGCAGCAATATTGAGCAACACCAAGAAAGGTTCCCGTGGCTAATCTACTCCAGTTATTGAGATTTTTGCTACTGAATTTATCATGAACCATTTATCAGTGGAGTTATAGATAAAACAGTGTGAATGTGTGCTAAACATATGTTATTCATTGAAAACGTTTCCCTTTTTTTTACTTCCAATTAAAGATCTTCTGGAGAAGTCCCGTGTTGTTAAGCAACCCAGAGGTGAACGAAACTTCCACATCTTTTATCAGCTGCTGTCAGGTGCCTCGCAAGGTCTGCTGAGTGAGTAATAAAAATAATAATAATAATATAAATCCTTACATTTGATATTGTGCCTTATCGTGTCCTCAGGACAACTCCAAGAGCTTCAGAAGATTTTACTGTGAAGGGTAAGATTGTGTGTTTGTAAGCAAACATGGTAGTCAATTCGCACACATCAAACAGGCATGGAGTGAATGACCAATTTTAACTGGGGCATTTTTGGTCAGGATTGTTGACCCAACAAGTAAAACTTGTTAGAGATGACTGACTGTGTGACCTTCTTTTCCTATGTGGTATTACAAGTTTTGTGGGCCAAGCTGCTCTTATTGTAAAGCCGTTCTGGGTGCTACGGTGGTCAAATGCTGTGTTTATATTGCCGGGTGTGAAGCTGTTGGTAGTGCTGTTCGCTGTGTGGACCATTGGGTTTGTACTGACTGTTGAATGGTTCGAAATACCATGAAAGAAAAATGAGGGAGTGGTCCCACTGTTATTTGCACTCAGGGTTTTATACTGTGTGGGTTTGAAGTGCAGCACTTCAGCAGTTTTAGGAACCAGGCTCTAGCGCATGCAATGCTACTGATAAATGGTGTGAGCTCAGTGCAGCACCCAGGCCCCACTTGAAGCCCTGGCTTACTGACTCGGTTGTCTTTACATTCTCTGTTCCAGAACGACTCAAGCTTGAGGAGGATTACAGCAAATACAATTACCTGGGCCTGGATTCTGCTAAAGTGAATGGGGTGGATGATGCTGCAAACTTCAGAACAGTCAAAGTAAGGCATCACTCAATTCCATTTCCTTCTGGAGATACACTCTCTCAGCACTGCATTGGAATATCAGCCGAGACTGTGCGAGTTCAAAGTCCTGAAGTGGGGCTTGAACCCACGACCTTCTGACTCATAGGAGAGAATGCTACCCACTGAGTTAGGTTGACCCCAGGCTAGAAGTTGTATTAGAACAGTTTATAAGAATTTATAACAGTGCCATTAACTGAGACTGAAATCATTGCTGGCGTTTCTTACTTTTGTTACATAACATATATAGGGAAGATTATCCTGTGGTTTTGTTTGATTTTAAGTTTGTTTTTTTGGGCAACAGTAGAGTCGTGGTGGGTCAGACCATTGCCTGTCACTGACATGTGATGACATTGACGTGCAATCATTAACCCTTCTCATGGAATCACTGCAGGTTTATCAAGCGACGATGAATGGTTGATTTTCAGGTAAGTACAAAGTGATTGAAGGGCAGAAATGGGTCTGCAAAGGAAAATTGCAAAGAAAAGGATTGTGGAAAAAATTAGCGAATCAATGAGTTGGGGAAATTGCTCTTAACAGGAACTGTTGGGTTCAGTTACTTACTCTGGTTCAGTCTGCATGCTGTCATGTTCAATTCGGGGCTGTTTAAGGTACAACAGTTTGGAAAGATCTGATGCGAATCAGGCTCCTGCTGCGGGGAAGAATGAGTGGAAATGGATTTGGTGCTTGGGGAGTTTAGGGCGAATGGGATTGTGGTGCAAAGGATACAGTGTGAAGCATTTCATTTTGTTTCAATGAGCAGTGTGAGCGACATGTCAACCCATACTGGAGCAGACGTCTATTGTTGTGTTCCAAACCAAAAATACTAAGAAGGCAGAAACCACCAGAGACAGATTGTTATCATCCAAGTCACAGGCACCCTTATTTGCAGCTGATTTGAATTGCATGACTCTTCCAATGCAGATTGAACTAGTTTGGGCTCGCTCCCCGTGGACATGACAGCTTGTCATGACTCATGCAGTCATCCAAGGAAAGCATTGCACAGTAACATCCAAAACAAGGGGCAAATTGCATGGCATTGGCTAGTGATTGTTATAGTTATTGCTAATTGTAGCTTCGCAAGCAAACACACTTCACCCACTAAATTTTTCTAAAATGGGTTTTCTTTTCAGTGACTTTGTGGGTAGTTTATAATAATAAATTATAAATGTCATGCTTAACTAATCTTTTAGAGTTTTTTGAAGATGTATCTAGCAGGTTAGATAGGGGGGAACCAGTAGATGTAGTATATTTAGATTTTACAAAGGCATTTGACAAAGTGACACACAAAAGGCTATTGCACAAGGTTAAGGCCCATGGGATGAATGGGAACATATTAGCATGGATTGAAGAGTGGCTAACGGGTAGAAAACAGAGAGTAGGGATAAACGGGTCATTCTCGAATTGGCAGGATGTGACTAGTGGAGTGCCACAAGGATCAGTGCTTCGGCCTCAGCTATTTACAATTTACATCAATGATCTAGATGAGGATATTGAATGTAACATATCTAAATTCGCAGATGACACTAAACTAGGTGGCAGAGTAAGCTCTGAGGATGATGCAAAAAGTTTGCTACGGGATATAGATAGGCTTGGGGAGTGGGCCAGTAGGTGGCAGATGGAATTTAATGTGGGGAAGTGTGAAGTTGTTCACCTAGGTAGAAAAAATAGAAATACAGATTATTTTCTAGAGGGGGAGAGATTAGATAGTGTTAGTGTGCAGAGGAATTTGGATGTCCTTGTACACCAGTCTCAAAAAGTTAGTTTGCAGGTGCAGCAAGCAACTAAAAAGGTGAATGGCATGTTAGCGTTCATTGCAAAAGATTTAGAGTGCAAGAGTAGGGAAGTCTTGCTGCAACTGTATAGGGCCTTGGTGAGACCGCACCTAGAGTATTGTGTGCAATTTTGGTTTCCTTATTTAAAAAAGGACATACTTGCTCTAGAGGGGGTGCAGCGTAGATTCACTCGGTTAGTTCCTGGGATGAGGGGACTGACTTATGAGGATAGGCTGAATAAACTAGGGTTATATTCTCTAGAGTACAGAAGAATTAGGGGAGATCTTATTGAAACATATAAGATTCTTAAAGGGCTGATAAAGTAGACACTGAGGGTCTGTTTCCCCTGGTAGGAGAATCTATAACCAGGGGTCACAGTCTTAAAAGTAAGGGTCAGCCAGAACAGAGTTGAGGAAACATTTCTTCACTCAGAGGGTAGTGAATTTATGGAATTCACTACCCCAGAAGGCTGTAGATGCTCAGTCCTTGAACATCTTCAATGCTGAGACTGATAGATATTTTAAAAATAGAGGGAATAGGCAGTTAATTAGACTTAGGTCTGAAGATCAGCCATGATCTTATCGAATGGCGGGGCAGGTTCGAGGGGCCGAATGGCCTACTCCTGCTCCTAATTCTTATGTTTTTAATAAATATTAATCCTTGCATTTGATATAGCGCCTTATCACATCTTCAGAGATGTCCCAAAGCGCTTCACAGAATATACTGTAAAATGAATTGACTATATATTTTGTGGGCAAATTTCTATCCCAAAATTTATATTCTGGTGTGTAAACCTACACACTCCATGTTGCCTTTCAGTATTGTAATTGTAACATAATAATAATGATGATGATGATAATGTTTGCGCTTAGCACAGCGACTCTCACGGCAGGAGGACGTCTTAATAGGATTTACTGTGAAGTGGAGTGACTGCGTAGTTCCAGGCAAATGCAAACATCTTTTAGATCGACAGAATTTGTTTTCCTTTCAGCATGTGTTTTTCTGGAATATTCTGTGCTTGTCCGGCTGAATGGTCCATCATTTCACAGCCGGGTTCCGACAATATATTTTGAAAGAAAATATTGCGGGCTGTGGCACTGAGCAATTGCATTTTAATGCGAATCTGTGTAACATAAAAATATTAACCCAGTATTAATTTTGAGATTAATTAGTAAATGTAAATCATTGTTTTAACCAATTATTTCATTTTAAGCCGTCTAATCTTGTGTCATGTCTTTCATGTTGATGACGTATTCAGCCACCAACAGGCGAATAGCTGACTTTCACAGCAGTGACTGATCGGCCTGATATTAAACTGTTCCATTGTTGCGACCAAATCTAAATAAAATGAAAGGGTTTATCATCTTGAAATTTACACGTAAAATTACATAGGAAATCGTGCTGAATGTAGACAATTACGAATGGATGGGTTTTGAGTAATAACAGGCAGGTGGTACTACAACAAAGACATATTGAAGGGTTAATGTATTCCACCTGAATGCTGAAACTAAATGCTAGCATTTTACTTTCTCTTTCTCTTGTGCTTTTTTCGATGTTGAATCTTTGTAATGCACATTTATGGTTTCAATGAAAAGCAAACCGTGGTAATGGTTACATGGGAAGTATAGAGCTCGAAGACTGAAAGGGCATTGTGCTGTCATTATTGCAGATTTACACGGTTACATGAGAGTAGTATTTAGGAATGATTGCACTTGGGAAGCACCACTATTGTGACCACAAAGCGATGGCAAAATGTTAAACATGACGTTCAGGTGATTCTTTTCAAATGGACCTGCTAGGATTCAATGCATGTCACCAGCACTGAATACATTGAGCTGTCAACGGTGGCAAAAAATTGGTCTTCAAATTACTGCGAGGCACTGATGATGTGGATATAAGTAGACAATTTGACCTGGGTTGTGAACCCAGAACTACTGTAATTTGTGCAGTATCAGCTGAAATGCAGCCCCAACGATTCAGAATGTTGGGCCAGTGGCTGTGCAGTTAGAGAAAGCTGGAGTTTATTCGAGGGAATAGAATCAGTAGTGGCTCTAATCCAATGGCTCTGTATTGCATTCTACTGCGGTGTGCTAGAGAAGCCCATCTCAAGGGATTTACACTGTGAACCTTTCTAGCACTCATTTAGCACATAATTTGCTTGTCCTGAGATTTGATGTCAATAGAATATTTGACAGCTGACATCACGACTGAGCCTGATAACACCATGATAAACCTTACATTTGATGTAGCACCTTTCACATCAGGAGGACATCTCAAAGCACTTGACGGGATGTAATGTGAAGTCAGTGACTGTGTTTTGTAGGTGAATGCAGCAGCTAATTTGCATGCAGCTGTGTCCCACAAACAACCACAAAATGAACAATCAATTTTATCTGGGGAACGGTTGGCCAAAGCCAGCAGTAAAATCTCCTCTTTTCACATAGTGCCAAGGGATCCTTAACGTTCACCCAAACAGGCAGAAGGGCAGCACCTCTGACACCACAGCACGCCACACCTACAGCACTGCATTTGATTGTCAGCCTAGATTATGTGAATTCAAAGTCTCAACGTAGGACTTGAACCCAGAACCTTCTGATGCAGAGGAGAGAATGCTACCAACTGAGTCATGCAGACACATTGTTCTTGTCCTCTCCTGAATTACATGCATCTGCATCGCACAATGGGCGTCACTCAGTATTTGTCATTAACAGCCCAAGGCACTAAATTTCCAGTTATAATGCCCAACTGCTGCCCAGCCTGAGTGAGATCAGCGAACTCAGCACAAAATGGGAATTGAGCGTGTGGGGACCTTATGATTAGTATGGCCCATTGCTACACTAGGTTGTGTCTTTACCACTAGGCAGTCAGGGAAACCCACATGTGTTTGCCGGTGAATTACCATAACTGTTACTGTGTAGCACAGTTGTAAAGTAGGGTCACCACTCTGTAGCTCACAAAGAACACGCTGACTAAAGTAATAGAATAAGAGACCAGGAATGAGCTTGAGGCCTAACACCCTCCTCTCTTTCTCTATGCTTCATATGTCTTTTTGATTGCTGAAGGTTTATTGATTCAGTTTAACCGAGCAGCAAATTCTCCAGGTGTACCGCACAGTCTGTCTCATAATGCACCTTAGGCTGATAAATTAGCACCTAGAAGCTAAATATGGGGAGCACGTATACCTTCTCTTTATGACATCTGCTCTGACGCAGTAAATTACAGCACTAACCTTCAATGCGTAGAAGTGTCCTGCTGCAATGAATCATTTGCAGATTTGGTGAGGAAAAAAGCTCGCTGTGTTTGGGAGGCTAATGCAAGTCCAATTGTCGGCTGTTTTGCCCCTGTGAACCTCTCCTCCCATTGAACCTCTTCCCTCTGCTGCAGAACGCCATGCAGATCGTGGGTTTTATGGATGATGAAGTGGAGTCGGTTCTGGAAGTGGTGGCTGCGTTGCTGAAGCTGGGAAACATCGAATTCAAGCCCGAATCTCGAGTCAATGGCTTGGACGAAAGTCGGATCAAAGACAAAAATGGTAGGAGGGACTCTGGTGCTTCCAGTCTTTGGAATGTAATGTTGTATCACTTTGTACTTTCCTTTCCCAGTGTGAAAGTGTTAAATGCAGAGAGGATCAAGAGATCTTTGTGTTACAAATCCTCTAATTGGCGTCCATAAATAGTAATAATCCTTGCGTTTGATACAGCGCCTTATCATGTCTTCGAGCCGTCTCAAAGCGCTTCACAGAATGTACTGTAAAGTGAATTGAATGTACATTTTGCGGGCGAAACGCTGCAGCCAATTGCACACAGCAGTGTCCCACAAGCAGTCGTGGGTTGAATTGGGTTCTAACTTCAATGGGATTCAAATTGTCATTTGGCTGAAATTTGTCAGTTCAGAGTTGAGGCAATGTGTGGAGAACTGTGGGGAAAGCGAAAGGGGGAATGGTATGTGGGCCATTCAGTCCGGTTCCTGCCTCCTAAAACACACACACCCTCACATATGGTCTGTCGTGCAAATGGGAAGTAAGTTGGTGGAACTGTAGAATAGCTTGCAGGACAGAATGGTTTGTTGCTATGGATCAAGAAGGAAGCACATTTAGAAAAGGCAGAAGGAATGAGGACTAGTCACCATAGGAGGGAGATCTGCAAAGTGTAAAAGGTGAAATTGAGCTGGATGCCCAAACTAAATCTGGATGTGAAAGGTGAGTTGGAGAGAGGACAATGGGGAAGAAGAGAACAGAGAATACAACCACAATAAAACATTTGTGCTGAAGAAAAGTGAGTGAACATAGTCACATCGAAGCAGAGTGAGTGTGTGTTAACATGATGTAATTCAGGTGACCAGATGGGGTCCCCATTTGCAACGCAAATATCAAGTAATCCTGTTGAAAATTGCCTCATTTTCAACCCTTTTTCAGTGTCTCAGCAATTTCGTAAGGGATTTAGGTAAATTATACTTCAATTCACGTGATGGTAATGAACCAGTTAACTATGCCCTGCAGAGCTTGAGTTTGAAATCTCATTGCTGTTCAGTAAGAAGCTATTATTGAAGTTGATGATTACCGTATACAGTACTTGGTGACTGTCTGGCCAGCTGATTGCAGTTTCACACTCGATGTGCTTGCAGAGCTGAAGGAAATCTGTGAGCTGATCGGTCTGGACCAGGCTGTGCTGGAGAAAGCCTTCAGTTTCCGTACTGTGGAGGCAAAGCAGGAGAAAGTTTCGACAACATTAAACGTGGCCCAGGTAAGTGAGGCTGCCCAGGTCTCACAGTGTGCCCTGAGTGAAAGGCTTGGTCCAGAGGATATTTGCTCATTCTGTGGTTCATTTTACAGATGTGCACGAGGGCCCTGGGTTGGAACAAATTTCCTTCCTAAGAGTGTGTTTTAATTGGGGAATTGATTTGGTAAGGGCAGAGGCTTGAATATCAGCAGGGTTCTGCTTGTAACACGAGAAGCCACTGCCACGCTGGGTCCAGTTGTGCTGCACTTTGTGTGCGAGAACCTTTTCTTACCAAAGATCTTTTTAAATCCCATAAAAATGGAAGCATGCCTGTTGCAGTAACTCAGAAAGTTTTGGCAGATGTACAGAGTACATCTTGGTGGCCAAGCACTGCATAAAACTATTTTCAAAGAAGCTGCTGCTATTTATAATTTATACTTAATTATAAGAACAAAGTTCTATGGTTGTTCTGTAACATTTGCATTGCTGTTTGTATGGTTTCAGGCTTACTATGCCCGTGATGCCTTGGCCAAAAACCTTTACAGTCGATTATTCACTTGGCTGGTGAACAGAATCAACGAGAGCATTAAGGTACTGACTGGGATTTATTGGGGTCAAGGCCACTGATACCCTAGGGTGCGAGAACCTAAATGTTCTTTCTTCATATCTAAATATCCCGAGCACGTTTTTATATTGTCTAAACATTTTTGGAAAATAATTTGGACAAAGGTATCATGTTGTCTTAGTGTAAGTTTCCTTTTTTGGATATCTTTTTACCATTAACCTAATCGGTTCAAATACCTAAGGGAGCCTGGGTTTCATTGAGGTACATAAAAGAAGAGGGAATTTGGATTAGGATGGGTGGAGCAAACACCAACATGAAAAAATGGTTTGAATGGCTTCCCACTGCATCTTGCATTCCTATAGTTAATTAAGTCAAGCAAAGAACATTCCGTCCATCGATTAAAGTACTCCACATAGCTCTTAATGCAGCCTCTTGATGTCTAGTTAGCCATAGCCATTTCCTTAATTTAACTGCTGTGAGGGAGATAAATAGAAGGCTGTTCCAGTTCTGACAAGTATTGTGCAAATGAATACATTGATAAGCCCACTACCCATTTTGCTTCAATGTAACATGTTATAAAGTGAATAATGTGTTCTCTCTGGTTCTGGTCTGTACCTAACTTTAATCTCTATTAATTTCAAAAGGCACAGACCAAAGTGAGGAAGAAGGTGATGGGAGTATTAGACATTTATGGCTTTGAAATATTTGAAGTAAGTTTAATTTTTTTTAAATCTTGAATTTAATAGAACTTCTTTAGTTTTGTGTAGTACTTGGTGTTGATGCGCAAGATGAAATGGGGGAATTTTAAAAAAAAATATCAACTTAATGTAATATAAGGTGCAAAATCACAATGCTATCAATGTGAGCAATACAGAGCAGTCAAAACATTTGCATTTAAACTGGTGTTCCATGTTTGAAATAGACTTTTATTTGGATATTATATTGAAATGTTGGTATTGCATTTCTAGATTACAAGTGGTATCTCCTATGACCTACACCTGCCTTATGACCTTAAGCAAACACAGGAATAGAAATTTGACCCATTGAGCCTCTGCACCATTAACTCTATAGCAACTCACTTTTAATCCATTTCTCTGCCTTTTTGCTATATCCCTTAATATCCTTATTTACCTGCAGCATCTACAGTATATATCTACCTATTGCTCTGATAATGCCTCAATCCACTCGGTATCTATAACCTTCTGAAGCAATTGATTCATATTCTCACAAGCATCTTGTTAAAAAACAACTTCTGAACCCCCCCCCCCCCCCTCACCACCTCAACTCTACTTTTACTATCATCAGAGTACTTTGCATATATATACAGCTCTGGGTTCAGATCAGCGCAAAAGGTGATTGTGATTATAAATTATGTATGAAGAGCAGATTTATTGAACCAGGGAGTTGTTGCATGCAGCCAGTTCCTCAAGCTCAATCAGTCTGTATTTAGTCTGCGCTGTCGGAGGGAAGTGGTGTGTTAGTTTATGCGTGAATTCGGTTGTATTTGCATTCAGGTTGATCATATGATTTGTAAGAATTGCAATCAAGCTGTACGCAAGACAATTTGTGGAGAAAGAATTCCATTGAGCTCATTGGCTTTGACGGTGTCAGCTGCTAATGGGATTTCCCATTAAAGTCACAGGCACTAAAGCAGGAATTTTCACCCCTTGATGTCCTCTTATGATGTGAGCAGCAAACATTTGCCTCCGCATTAGTAGCTTTGGAGAAAACCGGCCGTGAAGCTTTAAGATGACAATCCTTCAGACGTATTGTGTGTGGGGGAATATCAGCATAATTAGCTACAATTCTGTTTGACTTACTCTTGTGTACAAAATGAATGGAATATGTGTGTAGGGTGAGGTGGAGGCAGACTGCTGACCTGGGAAAATGTCAGTGCATTATTAGGCAGTGCATGTCCCCAAGCCAATCCAACCCCTTACATTCAGGACTGTCCATCAAAGTTACTTGTGTTGTTTTTTTGTTGTTGAAGAATTTGCCATTTCCTTAAATAAGAAATCATAAAACCACCAGGGAAGTTCACATGATAATACAAAACAAGTGCAAGACAGGGAGGAAACGTTAAATTATTAAACTAGAAAGTCACAAAAACATGCAGCCCAAGAATATTCATTTGTTGTCGTTTTGATTCACTGGTGCATCTTCCTCCCACCAGAATAAAATCAGTGAAAAGAAAGGCACCATAAGTGGGCGAACCAAAGCGCTCAGTCCATCCGTCCTGCTTACTGTTGCATTAACCTCTAGCAGCACTGTTGTGTGATGTCTGAGAGACTGACTAACAACAAATTGCACTTACATAATAATAATCCTTGCATTTGATATAGCGCTTTTCACGTCTTATCGACGTCTCAAAGCGCTTCACAGAATAGACTGTAAAGTGAATTGACCGTATATTTGTGGGCGAAACGTGACAGCCAGTTGCGCACAGCAGTGTCCCACAAACAGTCGTGGATTGAAAATGACCAATTTATTATTGTTTTTGGTTTTGGAGGGATTATTATTAGGCGTGTGGAGTAAGGAAACTTGCCCAAAGTTTAGCCCTGCCTGGAATTGAACCCAGGTGTCTCGCTTGCAAGGTTTGCACTCAATCACACCCTATCCATAATGAGGAACAACTTTTCTAACAGGCTCTGACACTGAAAAGCTTGACTGCTCCAGGATGTGTGAATTGAAGCTTCCGCATACATTTGCAGTCAAACACTCAGTACAAGTAATTACAAGGTTATGTTTACAGTTACTTGAAATTAGTTAATCCATTAAGTTTTTCTTGCTTTAGAATTGGCTCCCACTGTTGTCACCTGGTCAATAGTTGCGTGAGGTGGCACCAAGGATTCCCATCCAGTGGTTAAGTCTTAGATGATATAGCACTTTCCACACAGAGTAGCATCTCAAAGCGCTTAACAGAACTTGTGGGAATAAAATGTGCATGTGCAAGTCTAACAAATGAAAAAAAAAGTGAACTAAGAACCTAATGTTGTACCAACCTTGAATATTAGCAAATAAGTGTATTTGGACTTCTACCTAATTTTTCACACGTTTTCTGACTGAGTTGTTATTTTTGCAAACAGGATTCAGCCCCTTTCGTGGTTAATAATTAATATTAAAATTGAGTTTTGTTATTAATAGACAAAGATTCACGCTAGCAGTTTGTACTATTACTGTTGTGGATATGAAAACAGTATGGGTTTGTGTCTGTCTATCTTTCCTTGCTTCTCTAACTGTTTTGTGTGTGTTTGTGTGTGTGTCTCTCTCTTGCTCTCGTTCTAGAGCGCACAGCTTTTCAAGACAGTGTTTCCCTTCTATATTAAAATCTGACTTATTGATGGCATTGTTTTCTACTTCTTTCCTGTCCCTTTCTCCTTATACACTGTTGGTGGAAGGTATGTTGGTGAGACAATCTTTCCCATGGAGTTCAGGTATCAAAGTCCCATTCTGGGGATGGGAGACCGGGCAAGTGAATGGAAAATAGCTTCTTAGTGATTTGTGGTCTTGTAAATTACACCCTGTATATTGCCTGCCATTTACTCTATTTACAAAGATAGGAAAGAATAATAACTATTATTTATTATAAAAAAGGGCTCAAGAGAGGCAAGAATTTCAGGTGTGAAAAGGAGGTTGTTTTTAAAGCATAGCAAAAGGCTATATATTTGCATCCGAAAGCATTGCTGACATAACACACCTCCCTATGCTGGACTCTTGTCTCTTCCACATGTTTTCACATGGAAGTGTTACAGTGCCTTAATGATAGTAATAAAGGCAGTTTTCAGCAAACACAAAGTTTACTCTGCCTCTTCACATTCCCCAGATGATGTCCGATCACCTACAAAGTCGGTATTTTATTTGCATAACTACATAGTTGTATCACACTTCTATGAAGTGATAAGTCATTTAATCAGGTGTGTTGCTTAAGTTTAGATTTAGAGTAGCGTTTAGAGTTTTATTACTTTTTTTAATCAATGTCTGATTTATTTTTTAATTTTCTTCCTTGTCCGCAACAGAAATCTGTAAGTATGAGCTGTTTGCAGTGGCAGCTTTGCGGCATGTTGCACTTAATGAAAATCCTATGAACTGCTACAAAGAAGCTTGTAGATCAAAAGCTCCCTAGAACTTCTCTTTGTGTACAAGTCTGCTTCACGGCATTTACAGTTTGCTTTATTTGTTAGGCTCTGCTGCTTTAACAAAACAGTGCAGCAAGTACTACATCAGGTTCATGCTGCTTTGTGTGTCATTAGTTCTAGGCTACAAGCTTATTGTGTAGTTTGCAGTGATATGCATGTTGACACAATCTTCAGATTAAACCAGCACTGCCTGCTCTGTTCCTACAGAACAACAGCTTTGAGCAGTTTATCATCAACTACTGCAATGAGAAACTCCAACAGATCTTCATTGAGCTGACTTTGAAGGAAGAGCAGGAAGAATACATCAAAGAGGTAGGTAACCTGCTCACCTCCATGTTTCCGACATGCATCAAAGAGAAAAGGCTCAAACTCAGTCAATGTCAATCAACCAATGTCCACATTTCTGCTGTCGAGATTAACACACTTTAAAGTCGCAACAGGGAATGAACCTGGGATCTTCTTTGTTGGTGTGGCTCATTGCAATGTTGTTATTGCAGTTCAGGGGCTACTGTTCTTGGCCCGAGTTGTGATAGGATGAGGAATTGAATTAATTGGTTGTTGCTCGATACGGTGAGAGTTCTGCAATGTCTGCAATTACATTTGGATTTGTTTATGGACAAGTTTTAGATGGTTTTAAATTTCTGGTGTGTGTAAGATTGTATCGTTTTATCAAACACTCGTTTTACCACTCTGTTGAATCAGATGCTGGGTTTTAGTTAAGGCATTTTTGAAAAGCCCAACATTTCAATTGAATTAAGAAATTACTGAGCGAGCACTGCAGAAATCTTAATGTTCTCCATGTTTCTGTTTACTGTGTGTCTCCTTTTGTCTTTTAAGCTGTGTTCTTTTTCTGTGCTGTGTGGCCCCTCTGAATTCCCTCTGAATTCCTTTCTTGCTTGCTGCTAGTGATGCCTTGCTAATGGCTGTGCAGACACATCTTCCAGGTACTTGTCCTCAGTTCTTGCTGTTAAAGCCAGTCTTGCTTCCTTGTCTCTTTTCCTTTCCTCTATCCAACAGGCACTTGTAATTGCAGTTATGATTCAGCAACAACAAGTTGCATTTATATAGCACCCTTCACGCAAGGTAGTGCCCCAGAGCCTTCTGCTTGATCTGTTTGAACTAGAGCTCTGTTTGAACACAACTGTTTCTCTGGTGATGATAATAATGATCCTTGCATTTGTGCAGCACTTATAACATCAAAACGAGTTGAAGTGCTGTACAGGTAATCACCGTCAGGTGTACTGACCGTGTCCAGAGCAACCCTGTAATAGAGTGCCTCAGATCCCAAATATTAGAAGCCATGTTATAATGGGTCCATGAAAAAAATGTCTGCCGGTTCCACTTCTAGGTAATCAGGTCGCCGCTGAAATCACTTCCTGTGCAAGAAGTGTCGCTGGCTCCTGTACATACTGTGTGACTGTGCATTGTCCTGGAAGTTACATTAATGAGGCTTCCTGTGCGTAGCCTGCACAGTACAATGCGCAGGAAGTGACATTAGCGTGGGACACCGGCCTGTCATTCCTGAAAGCTGGGTTTGTAGCCTGTGTTTGCTAGGAATCTGCGCTATAGCAGGGATCCTCAATAAACACGTGCTATGAGCAAACCTGTGCTCAACTGTGGTCAAGGGGTGGGGCATTCTAGTAGGATCGCCTTGTGTTTGCACACATGTCCCACAAATAGCCATGAGCAATTTATCAAAGGGATTGCTGGCCCAGACGCTGAGAGATACACCCTTTTCAAATTGTGTCATGGTATCCTTAACGTCCAGCTAGCAGCACTCCCCGGGCATTGCACCGCACTGAGGTGTCAGCCTATACTGGGAGCTCAAAGCCTCTACAAGGAGCTTGAAGCCACAGGCTTCTTACTCAGGGCGAGAATCCTACCAACTGAGCAAAGCTGACAAGTTAATGAAGTTACATATTTATGTTATATATCGTTTGCATTGGTGGAACGGTCAGTCAGGATATTTGCCAATCTATTTCAATCTATGCAAATTTATTAAGGAAGGATTGTGTGCAAAACATATCCTTTCGGGGTTTTTTTTAGAAAAAATAGGCTGCTTGCCTCAAAGTGGCTGAATTGACCTTGTGCTCTGCCATGTGTGTTCCTGGAATATTTCCCATGAAGTGCATGGGAAATTGACTTGGATTGGGGGAATGGAATGGAAGCAGACCTGGAAGCTTGTCAAGTGAAACGTTTTAAATGAACAGAATCCTGTAGCCCTGCTCACGCAGCAGTGTTGCAATGTTTCCAACTTTGTGTTATGCTGGGTATTGTTTATGGGGGAGTGGGGAGGGAATGGGAGTTGTGAGATGGGGAAGGAAAGGAGACAGCAAGTTGTAAGGTCAAAATCAGTCGCTGGTACCAGCCAGGTGTTTAAAGATTATCAGAAGGAGCTGTGTTTGGTTACAGTAATTGTGCCTTCATGTGTTTTACAGGGAATTGAATGGACTCACATTGAGTACTTCAACAATGCTATCATTTGTGACCTGATTGAAAACGTAAGTTTTATTACCTAGAATTTACTCTAGTGATTTTTTTAAAAAAAAACAAAGCTTACTTACAGCTTTTCCCAATTTCCAGCTGATTCTCAGCTACTGCTGTGGTTATATGAAACTGTCTTGCTGTGAAAGTGAAATGAATTAACAAACAGAAATAGTGGCTGGGAGACTTCTCCAGGGCTTTTGCCGTAGTTGGATCGACTTTGTAACAGAAAGAAATAGAGAGATGCCCAGTGATAGACTCCGGAGAGGATATTTATTCTGCTCCAAGCTATAAAGAAGGAAGTTTTGGAGGACGCTCAGCTTAAGATTGAAAATGGGGATAAATAATTTAACACAGTAGTTTCAACCCCTGCTAGCCCCCAGTGACTCACAATCATTTCGTCACAGAGCTCCTTTAAGCACTGTTGAATGATGGACAGTTACCTTCTTTTGGCGGTCACAGGGTGGGGAATCTACTTAGTACACATCATCCCATTCACATTTTTATTTACATTTTGAGAGGAACTGGTTGAACAGCAATAACATATCCTCAGTCGCAAGTCAGTACTGGCTTCTCACCACCAAACAAAGCGACATAATCCACCGCAGGATTCAACTCTGCGCTGAACGAGCAGACCTGACAACTGCTTTAGGATCCAGCATTATGCTGGCAAGGTACCGGAAAACAAAGCAGCTTGCCTCTGGCCTCCAGTCTCTCCCTGTTATTGCCGTATCTTTAGATTTGATATAATTACGGCTATTTCTGTTTTCACATTTACTGCACTTTGAATCGCCAGAAATACAACATCTAGGTGACCCGATGTATTAGAGAAACCAACATGACAGCAGGGTAGTGGGTGACCAGTCCGACGAAAACCCCTCTACCACTGAGCTCCTCTTTTCTGCTGTGAAGCAATGAGCAGGTGCTTCCTTACAGTGATAGACATTGATTTGCATTTTGTGTTCTTTGGTCTTTGTTTGCCACAGAACACAAATGGAATCCTGGCGATGCTGGATGAAGAGTGTCTCCGCCCAGGAACGGTGACAGACGAGACCTTCCTGGAGAAGCTCAATCAGGTCTGTGCTACCCACCAGCACTTTGAAAGCAGGATGAGCAAAAGTTCCCGCTTTCTCAACGATACCTCTCTGCCCCACAACTGCTTCCGGATCCAACACTACGCTGGCAAGGTACAGGAAACCAAACCTTTCAAACAACTGGCCTCTCATCTCTTAGTTAGGGCCTTATCGCTCTGTTTAATGTCAAAATCGCTATTGTAGAGTACACTTCTTAGCAGAATAATAATAATCCTTGCATTTGGTATAGCACCTTATCACATCATCGGAACATCTCAGAACGCTTCACAGGATATACTGTAAAGTGAATTGACTGTACGTTTTGAGAGCAACCCGGCAGCCAATTACGCACAGCAATGTCCCAATTATTTTTTTTTGAAGGAATTATTACCCCCAGCAAAGAATTCCGCCAGTCGACCAACAACCAGGTTCCTTTTACTTACTGCTAGGTAAACAGAGGCATGTGGAGTAAGGAAACTTGCCTAAGGTTTCGCCCTGCCGGGAATCGAACCCAGGTCTCTCACTTGCAAGGCGAATGCTCTAACCACTGAGCTACAGGACTCCTTTCCCCTTATGCCCTTGCCATGTTGTGTTCTATTCTTACTTCAAGCACAAACTGCTGTTGAGATACTTTTTTATCCATTGCAATAACAACAATAATCCCCATGATTGTTAAAGTGTCTGTAATGTCCTGAGCATGTCTTGGAGCACTTTTCAGGTAATTGTCATCAGGTTTAGTGACAGTCTTGTGGTATTGAAACATCCTGCGATTGCATGCTTCTGCTTTCCCTTTGAAGGTGATGTACCACGTGGAAGGATTTGTCGACAAAAACAATGATCTGCTGTATCGAGACCTGTCGCAAGCCATGTGGAAGTCTAATCACATGCTGATCAAAGGCCTGTTCCCAGAAGGGAACCCAGTTAAGATATCCCTGAAGAGGCCACCCACGGCAGGCTCACAATTCAAGTCTTCTGTAGCTACTTTAATGAGAAACCTACAGACCAAAAACCCCAACTACATCAGGTGAATAAAGTGTGTGTGACACAAGCCGTGTGGATGCATGAGAGAAGCAGTAGTGCATTAGCTGCATAATTAACAGTACTAAATATTACCCACTTTTATTATAATGCGATTCTCTGGATCATAGAATATTATAGAATCATACAGCACAGAAAGAGGCCACTCGGCCCATCACGTCTGTGCCGGCTCCTAAAAGAGCAATCCAACTCAATCCCACTTGCTCGCTTTCTCTCCATAGCCCTGCAATCCTGTCCTCCCCAAATACCCATCTATTTTTCTCTTAAAAGTTGTTATTGAATCGGCTTCCACTACCCTTTCAGGTAATGCATTCCAGATCCGAACAACTCACTGGGTGAAAAAAAAATTCCTAACCTCCCCTCTGTTTCTTTTAACAATTATCTTAAATCTAAGCATGTTCCATTTTACAATGCCTTTGTTCGCTGCAGTCAATGGCCCATAATGTAATTTACAACATGAAAACATGGATAATATAATGAGACCATTACTGCTGAAAATCCTGTAATTGGGGGTAATTTAGTCAAAATAAAATGTCCAGTAATAATAATAATAATCCTTGCATTTGATATAGCAAAGTTATGTGATGTGCTTTCATAAGCACTAACCAAACCCCATTGATTGGTTTGTCTGGAAGTCTAATGTTTGACTCTTGATCCTAGCAGTTGGCTAAGTAGCTTGAATCCTTTCAAGTGGATACAACCTGTATGTGGAATGCGTATTCAGTTTGCTAATAGTGGGAGGTATGAATAGGAGCGAAGAGGATGTTCTGCGAAAACAGTTATTATTGTGCTCACTTGAGTGGCAGACAAACTGTTCAGGTGAACCAACGTATTGTATCATGTGCTGTTCATATTGCAGGTGCATCAAACCTAATGATCAGAAGACTCCACACATCCTGACAGAGGCTTTAGTACGCCACCAGGTTAGGTATCTGGGCTTGATGGAGAATGTGCGGGTCCGACGAGCAGGCTATGCTTTCAGGCAACCTTACGAGCCCTGTCTGGAGAGGTACAAGATGCTGTGCTCACAGACGTGGCCACACTGGAAGCAAGCAGCAAGGTAAGGACAATCCCTGCATGTCTATGGTTGATTGTCAAAATAAAATATCCAATTGCATGCTTTACTACAATGATGCTCCCTCTCATGTACTATCCAAACTCTCTGTAAGGTAATAAAGTGTCTTTAGTAACTTGATGCATCATGATACTGAGCTTATTTTAGTTGAAAAGAGTGCAATGCAATACATAGTACCAGGCAGACTTTCTTTAAATGTTAGTACAGCAGTTTCTGGATGAGGGGATTTCAGTTTGCATCATTGACTGGGGTTCATATTCTAAATAGGTTAAATAGGAATTCATCTTTTACTTGAATGGCACAGTGCGGGATCCACAGTAAATAGTGGTGCATTGCTTCCACTTCTCACTTTATTTCTCCAAGGATCCACCTCATGCCTCCTACTGTAGCAATTCTTGGTTACCCAGTGGGTTCTGTTAGCTATGATGTTTACCCTTGGATTTTTAAGCGCTCTGGGACACTACCCTGTGTGAGGGGCGCTTTATAAATGCAAGTTGTCGTTGTAGTAGCTATGTTAGTATACTAGGTAGAGGTGTTACTTAATGTTTATATTGGAGTCCTGTAGCTCAGTGGTTAGAGCACTCGCCTTGCAAGCGAGACACCTGGGTTCAATTCCAGGCAGGGCGAAACTTGGGCAAGTTTCCTTACTCCACACGCCTAATAATAATCGCTCCAAAACAAAATAATAATAAATTGGTCATTTACAATCCACGACTGTTTGTGGGACACTGCTGTGCACAATTGGCTGCCGCGTTTCGCCCACAAATATACTTTACAGCATATTCTGTGAAGCGCTTTGAGACGTCTAGAAGACATAAAAAGCGCTATATCAAATGCAAGGATTATTATTATTATTTATTTTGCTTGGGTGAATGAAATTCAACACCGCAAGGCAGAATGCCAAATAACGTATGTTGATGCATTCATTTTAATTTAAGGGATGGTGTTGAGGTGTTGTTGACAGATCTCCAAATCCCTCCTGAAGAGTTCTCATATGGCAGATCAAAGATATTCATCCGAAACCCCCGAACGGTATGTAATCCCCCTTTTGCAATGCAAAACCTTGAAAGCTACCTCATATGTTAATGGATTCATTGCTCACTCCTGCACTGGTTATTAACAGCAATTCATCATAATTGTACGTTCTTGTGTGAAATGTGTGTTTATTGTGCCTTTATTTTTACCTTCAAAGCCTTCCATGGTCTTGCTCCTCCCTACCTCTGTGACCTCCTAATCCCCTACCATCCTGCCCACACTCTCCGCTCAGCGGGCTCTGGCCTGCTTCACTTCCCCGCTTCACCCACCCCACCATTGGCGGGCAGGCCCTCTGCCACTCTTTCCCCATCCTCTGGAATTCCATCCCGCAGTCCCTCCACCTCGCCCCTCTTCAAGACCCTTGCCTTCTTCAAGACCCATCTCAAGACCTTCCCCGTTGACCGTGCATTGGATCATTCTGCTTCCCCCCCCTGCCCTCCACCCTCCCCAATCTCGACCTCCAGGTCGGGTCCGAAACTCTGACTGTCGGGTCCTCCCGACGTGAAAAGCTGTATACAAATACTAATATTGCAGTAGTAAAGTTACCTCCCCTTGAGCCTATGCGATCAGATCAATCGGAGAAAAGTATCTGCATTGATTCGTATAATTCATAGCATATCTGCCTTCTCACAAGCAACGTGATGCTGTGAGCCTGTCATTAATGAGCCTGTCATTAATCAGCCTTAAAAAGTGATCTTGGATTCTTCCAAGCAGCCCTGTTTATATAACATATTTGTTGATCTGCAGTAAAATTGCTGCAGTAAACGATCACCTCTGCAAATAAGCCAACTTGGGTTACCTGAATGCCAATAAGTGACCTGTCGTCTTCTGCCGCAAATCTCCAGTGCACAAACAGCTGAGAATCCAGCACATGAACAGACTTGGGAAATGGCACCAACAGGCCTGTGGGAGTCTGTTTGATTTAGGACGCTCTAATTGAAAACGAATGCAATGTAAAAGTGGTTTGAGACAGCTTTGATCTAATCTAGGAGGATCACAAAGTTAAATTGGCCCTGACCTCAACAGTGACCCTGACCGCTGCTTTGCTTTGTTTCTGCAGCTGTTTGAGCTGGAAGAGTTGAGAAAGCGACGACTGCAGGATCTGGCCACACTAATTCAGAAGATCTACAGAGGCTGGAAATGCAGGAATGATTTTCTGTTGATGAAGAAGAGTCAGATTACCATTGCCGCCTGGGCAAGGAGATATTTGGTGAGTGGCTCGCCAAATGGATGCCTTCACATAAGAGGTGCTGTTTTGGTTGTGAGAGTGATGGACAGCAGAATGGCCGTTTTCAATGCAGTGATCACATCATATAAGCAGCACATTGATCTTTGCACAGTACACAAATGTAGTTCAATGTCATGTTAATCTATTGGGTCCGGGTTAATCCTTACTTTTGATATAGCGCCTTTCACATCAGGAAGATATCTCAAAAGTGCTTCACGGGATATATTCTATAAAGTGTAGTGACTGAATTTTGTAGGCAAACGAGGCAGCCAGTTTTGTGCACAGCAATTTTCCGCCAAAAGCCAACGTGGCTAATGCACAATAAAATGATAGGGTATCACATTAGCCCCAGCCTGGAGATGCAGACACTTTGTGTATTAATAAAAGTCTTTCAACTACTTGTGCCCAGGCAAACTGACATCCAACCTTAACCAAGAAAGAATTCACATTTGGAGGTTATCAGAAAGATGTGAACTGAAAAGGAAGCCAGCGTAGCAGTGTATTTTAGTTTCTGGCAGGGCCTCAGTATAGTGTGGTGTCACTTACCATCCAGCAAATGCCTACATATTATGGAGCTCCTGCCTCAAAAGCTCTGAAGTGGCATTTCCCTGTGGGATACTCCGAGATCTATAATGAGCCTCATACTTCTTTGATTGTGACCCTGGAAATTTTCAGAGGTTTGAGATCTGTGTTCAACCTCTATTTTTCCAGGAAATGACCATCCTCCCTCATTCTCCTCTAGCTTTCAAATTTAAACTGAGTCATGTGCCATAGGTTAGCTTAAGCGTTTTGAGACGTCTCAAAGATGTGATAAGGCGCGATATCAAATGCAAGCTTTATTATTATTAAGAGTGAGTTTAGAGTCCTATGGAGGGGTAAGGGTGAGACTTTGTTTCAGAGCACTGCAGTGTTAAAACGCTTGAAAACTCAGTGATTTGAAGTGGAGATCAGTGTAACTCGGTTACATTTGACAGTAAATTTAACTGTATTTCTGGCCTGAGCCTGCTTCACTGATAACAGGAATTGGAGTAAGCTCCAGGAAATTTAAGGGAAAATATTTTCTCTCTTATGGGAAGAAAAAGCGTTCCTTCAAAAGTAGCACTGGCATTTTTTGAACCCGTGTCGAATTGAGGGCAGCGAGTTGTTTCATTTAGTTTTGATCTAAAATTCTCCATGGTTCGATGACTGCTGACAAACATGTAGGGGTGAAATTTGTGGTATTTCATAATTATCACGGGAAGACGTTATGAAATGCTGCAAATTTGACCCCATAAAATCTCATTGAGTGCAATTTACGTTAATTGACATTTCTCTGTTATGGAAAATAGGTATTTGGCCTGTGTCATGGTTATCTGCTCTGTGTCATGAACATTAATCAAAGGAATTGAGGTTCAGAGTTTTGTTTGTTTACTTACTGCAGTAAAGAGTATTCACACCACTGAGAATGATACCAAGGCTATTTTGTGGTGATAACACCAGAACAAAATTTTAGACCGAAGACTTGATTGTCTAAGCAGATAGTTAATTGAAATCACCGAACTGGGACAGTATCAATCCTGTTAGCTTTCAGAGATATATTGGAAGATTACCTTTGCCTTTCTGTTAACTTAGTGAAACTGCTACATTTTTCAACTCCTCATTAGACTTCCATTTGTTTTTCATGTCTATTGATTGTCTGGGGTTCCAAGAAATGTGCCCGAACCTGACCTGGTGAATTTGTTTCAAGAAACTAATGAATGTCTTTATCTCATTATCTCCAATATAGCAAAGGAAGAAATACATGCGGTTAAAGAGTGTGGCCTTAGTTGTTCAATCCTACATCAGGGGCTGGAAGGTGAGTCATTCACCTCTGTATATATGGAAGTAAAACTTCCCTTACGTTGTAGTTTGTCTACATTTTAGTGCACAAAAATAATACACGAGACTTGAATTTTTGTATGATGTTCAAAGCGAAGAAAGACAAAGCAGTCGAGTTGACTCTTGTGATGCGATCAATTCCAAGTTGTACTAAAATTACAATGGAACATAAACAAAGCCATTCATTTTGAAAAGAACCCACTTGAGCAGACTGGATTTATGTTTGTTGAACAGCTGAGATGTTGCTCTTTGAGGTAGACTACATCTTTACGCTGCATGTGCTCTGTCCAGGACAGTGTGAGAGGAACCAGGTGCTTCCTTGCTCATTGACGTCTGATCTCAGCCAGACTGTCGGAGAAGGAGGATAATGGCAGATGAGTCATCTTATACTGCACTTGCAAGTCTCCCATTAGCTGCCTGTGAACCTGAATAAGCACTCGTCCCCAAGGGAATCTTCTGCTAGAAATGATTGATGGAGCGCAATCAGCCATCATCAACCAAACTTTTTTAAAAAAATGTAAACGAATTGTATCTTGTAGGCTCGCAAAATATTGCGGGATCTGAAGCACCAGAAACGTTGCAAGCTGGCATCCACAACCATCTCGTCCTTCTGGCGCGGGACACAGGTATGAAAGTCTCCTTATTCTTCCTACCTGGAAGAGCGTCTGTTACTCGCTTGGTTTCAAGGATTTGCTGTAACTTGCTGTGTTGATACTCACTTTAATCCATGACCCAGTATAATGTTAACAGCTTGCTGCGCTATTTCAGATTCCTCAATTGACGAAGGTCTTCACTTTAAAGTGCTCCGTGTCTTAATATTCGTAGCCTTGCTTTTGTCTATGCTATTTTAATGTTTTTTTCCCCTGATGTTGACCTTTCTTATACTGCTTCCGTTTTTTTTTTTTGGGGGCTACCAACAAAACTCTCCCCGTAACTTAATATTCTGGGGGACAATACATGTAAAACAAAATACACGACAGGCCCGAAAGGAGCTGAGACGACTGAAGGAGGAAGCTAGGCGTAAGCGTGCTATTGCTGTTATTTGGGCTTACTGGCTTGGATATGAGGTACTTGAGAACACTTCACCCTCACCAACCCTTCCCTCACCCCATCCTGTTTTTTTTTGTAAATTGTAATAACTAACAAATAGTTACTAAGTGCATGACGAAACCCTGAATCTCCCATTTCAGAATAGCTGGACCACGGAAGCATCGATATGCTGCCTGCAAGTGGATTGTACTGTAGTTAATTTTAACAGCATGTAGGGGGAGAAATTCCTTCTGGCTCTCGATTCACTCCCATTTTCTAAGCATTTCAGAGGGTCCAAAGTCTGGCAAAGTCTTAAGTACATCCTTCATTTTTGAAGCCGGTGTCCTGCAAATTCTTTTAAAAGTTACAGGAAAAACTGGCTTCAAACTAATGACTCATTTCAACAATTTGAACATTCTAAAATGCTAAGAAAACAATCTTAACTCGGGTGGAATTTCTCCCAACTAGTAGTACGTTACCCTGAAATCCGGACATTTCAGAATAAAATGTTACTACCACTTACTAACTGAATATGGTATTATGCTGTGATGCAATGCTGACCATGAGATGCTGCTTCTTATTTCAAGCAATGCAACATTCAGTTCAATTTACTTTATTCATTTGTTGCGTTTAATGCGTCATCAAAACAACTGAAGGGACAAATAGTGAAATGGACAACTTTTCCATTTGTTATTAAAGCAAATTTGTCTCTCAGTTCTTGGGTCAACGAGAGCGTTGTTGCTTCTCTGTGAATTTGTTTTACATCCTGATGCGTACTAGATGGAGTTTTTCTTGTGTGCATCTGCAGTGAATGTGGTGAACGGCGATTGTGCTCTGTTAAAGCACTGGATTGTGGTTTAATGGACTTTCCCAACTACTTACTATAACAGAAATCAGAACGGGATTGAGTCCTCACTGATATAATACAAGCATCACTACGGTGGTTGCAGTGTGTTTGATGCACTGACATACAGAAACACACAGTGCTGGGTTGTGAGTTGCAGCCTGAATAACAGAATTCAAATCAACGTACGGTTCATGAATTTTTACAAGTAAAACAAATGAAACAGATTGCTTTCCCCAGATATTTGAATGATGATGGGAATTTTTTTGTGCAAGTTTTTTTTTAATCTGCTTACAATCACATTCATTCGGAATTGTATAAAGTGAGCGAAAGCCATTATTAGCAATTATTTCTGTGGTCCTTTGAGAAATGTAGAATTTCAATATCTGAAGAAAAAGTATTTGGGAACCATGGCAGTATTTCACAGCGTGCATTAAAATATACTTCAAGCTTGCTGCTGATTTTAATTTTAGCATTGGATGCTTGTTAATCTTTGCTTTTGATGTTTTCAATCAAAGTGGACCAATTTATTTTCATACAAAATCTCGTCCTTTGGGAAGTTATGCAATACGCATGGTGAGATTTGTTCTTTTGATTTGCCAAGTTGGTTTGGTGTATTTTTTTGATCAGCCGGATGTCTGGCACTGACAGAATCCCATCACTATGCATAAGAGCATCCATGCCAAACTACTCCAGATCTACATAAGCATTGGAAATCTTCCTGTATCTGGAATGGAATGTGCTCTCTTTCCCTTGAGAGATGTGCTGCAGGGTGGCAAATGCCAAAGGTTAGGGAATCCCAGAGTATAGGAGGGGTACTGCTGGAGTTTACCCAGCTAAAGTCGCATCGTGATTTTGTGAACACTGTATTGTGAACACTGACTGGCACCATCTGAGAATGATCTGCAAAGAGAAAAATTGTCACATCCCCTTATATCTAGAAGCATGCATCCATCTCAGATATTCACCCATTCAGGTACATCGATAAAGCTGAATGCAGAGCAGATTTGGACGATTCTAAAATTGTAAATATTTCTGTTATAACGTTTTCCTTAAGTCCCTGGATATATATATGTGTGTGTGTGTGTGTGTATATGTGTATAATCGGTTTTACTGCCATTTTTCAATTTCATTGAATGATTGTCGAAATAGTCAATGCAACCAGTGGTTCTGTTATTGCATCACCGTAAAAATGTCAAAATTAGGTAAAAACTCCCATCTTCTACAGCTAAAATATATTATCCAGTTAACATAGTCAGTTTGTCATAGAAATCTGTTGATGATTCAAAGGAGAAATTTCTCTTTTGTTTAAAGTACAATGATAGATTTGTCTTATTGAGGATGTTAACAAAATAATTTAAAGAAGATAATTAATGAGAGCCGTTTTAAGCTGTACAAGGTTTGAGTTTTTTAGTATCTGTTGACTGTCCTACAGTGAGACACTATTGATGTAAATTTGGTTCGTTCTTTGTTTCCTCATTATTTGATAGCTGTTTAAGAACTCCGACCATCTTCTTTGCTCAGTGCGTGGACCTGATCAAGTGGTCATGTGTTTTCTCCCGATTTTTGATCCATTTTCTTCCCTCAACTTTTAACAATGCAATTTGGGACCATTACTTTCTGTTCATCTTCCTCTCTATTATACCTACCAATCGATCTCCATATTCATTATATATAACCTTCTAGGCACGAAGGGAGTTGAAACGTCTGAAGGAGGAAGCTAGGCGTAAACATGCAGTTGCTGTGATTTGGGCTTACTGGCTTGGACTGAAGGTACTTTCTCTACTCCAACTCAGTGGAACCTGCACTAACCACTAACAACAAATCCTGATTCCATTAACCATCTGATTTCCTTTCATGGACCGCTTTGTGTTTAATTGTACTCAGTCATGGAAATCGATATCAGTAAGCAAGAATTAAATGTTTAATCTGTTATTACATCACTGTACGGGTTCCAAATACGTCTTAAATACATGTAAGTTCAGCCCTCTTTCACTGAGAGTTAAGTCAGCTAAATCCATGTCCATTTGCTGTAGCTGTGACTTGCTTATCAGTAATGCACACAGAGCTGTTAAATCTCAATTTATTGAAATCGGCAATTCAGAGTTGTGTTGTAAATAGAATAAACTGTGGCCCTTTGGTGCTGACTCACTCATGAATCTGTGTTTCTGAGACCCGCATCTTCCATCCGTGTACACAGACCTACACACGTAAGCGGACAATTCTGGAACCCCCTACACTTCCTGAGTTCAGCCAGTTTAATGCTTAATGAATCAGTGAACATCTAAATGCAACCTTATCCTCAACAGGCTCCAGGGATAATAAATGCTTTAGCAGCAACATTTTAGTTGGTAGCCAATATTACTGATCCCTAGCTTCCATGACTCTCTGTACAATTATGTTTAGGTGCAACCTTATCTTGGCCTTTAATGTTGTTTTGATTTTACTCAAAATTGTTCCACCATTGTTCTGCTGAAATTCTAAAGCATGTGAGCAGGGTTGATATGTGGATATGATTTATGATGATTAAACATTCTTAGTAGTTCATTCAGGCCAATGCAAAGAATACTGCCTGCTTAATAAACCTCCTGCTATTTGGATCCTTCTTATCGAATATGCATTGGAATTCTATGAAATAATGTCCCTTTACGAATGTTTTAACAAACCCAATTGCCAGCACTAACAAGTTGAAAGGCTCTGTCTGCATCCACTATTTCGATTTGGTGACTAGCCATGAATATTCCACAATTAATGGTGGTTAATTCTTCTTTCTATGGAATGTAATTGTAAGCATCCAAATTAGATGCATTAATCTGAGAGATCAATTCAGATTAGACAACCACAGCTTGTGTGAGGGGAGTTGGTGTGGAGCCTGATTGATCACTGGAAATTAGTCAGTCCCACTGGCTTGTTGCTCTTACGTTCCTTTTTCTCAGATCTTCTAAAATCAAGCTGCCTTCACATTGGAGTGTATTCAAACTCACGTCAGACCAATCCTTCAGGGGACTGCTGCTTTCTGCTCTGTTCTTTGATAAGCATTTGTGTGTATTCACATAATTTGTTGCGGTAAAGGACTGGGGCAGCCTTACAGCAGTACTGCCCAACCTTTATGGTCGTCCAACAAAATACATTTTCTTGATTGAGTATTTCCTGAAGTATGCCTGTGTTAAGGATTAGAGAAAGGATAATATTTTGAACCAGGTGTTTTGTTTTATCCTGAAATCATTTTATTTTACAGAATGTAAGGGTTATATCCAGGTGTTTTTGAAAGATATAAAAAAATCCTATGTTCTAAAACAATATCTGTTTTGTAAATGGCAGAAAAGCCTGTTTGTAGAACATTAATAACCTCATGCTACTGACCTGCTTTTGATTTCTAATCCATTCCTAACTTTTCTGCTTGCAGATGATGTGTTTATTGTGTACAAAAATTATGTTGGCAGATTATATTTATGGTTTTAGGTTTTATTCTTGTGCTCTTGGATAAACTTTTCCAATCTATAGTACAAAATAAATTTGCATCTAATGTTATTTCTGAAATTAAATTGTGACTGCAGATTTTCCTCCTAAAGTCCAGGCTGGAATCATTTCCAACAAGGCAATTGAAGTAACCTGCCTTAAACATGTCCACTTGCTCACCTACAGGTGCGTCGGGAGTATAGGAAGTTCTTCCGTGCAAACGCAGGCCGGAAGATATATGAATTTACCGTTCAAAGAATTGTAAGTCAACAGAAATTTTTGATGATAAAGCTTTAGCTTCATTTGTTTCCTTATTATGATGAAGGGTGGTTACCGTACCTGAAAGGAATGGCTTGTTATTAGGACTGCTGGTGAGGTAAGGATGCTGGACTCGTTTAATGTATAGCTTGATGGGAGGATGTTGAGTGGGATGAGGTCAAATGTGCTAAAGGGCTTTTCTTCATTCGAACCAATCTTGTGAGTTAAAATTCCGTTGAATAACAAAATGTTGACATTTCATGAGTAATTTTTAATCTTGAAGCTCAAAAATATTAACACTAATTTACTGCAGTTAGAATAAACAAGAAGTTTATGATAGAAGGGGTTAGTGGGGTACTGTACAGGAGAGGTGAATTGGAGGGTTGCGAGCTCATGTAGAGTACAGTCACTGGCAAATTCTATTTGGGCCGAATGGCCTGTTTCCATGCTGTATCATTCGATGTAATTCGATGTAAAAGGTACTGCAGTATTCTGAATACCAATATCCAGGAAGATTTTGGCACATAACATACACTTTTCTTATTTACTCTAGATACAAAAGTATCTTCTGGAGTTGAAGAATAAGTTGCCTTCCATGTCCCCAACTGAGCGGAGCTGGCCGGCACGATCATACCTGTTCCTTGATTCCACGCACTCAGAACTAAAGAGGATTTTCCATTTGTGGAGGGTAATTTTGTCCATTATTCCATCTTTATGTATGAATTGGACCAGAACCTAGTTGTTTCTTCAAGTTGCAAATCAAAATATAAACTTTTGACCGCTAACAGGTCCTGGAACATATCAGGGCCAGCCATTTATAAGGTGTTTCCAAGGTCAGCCATTGCACCTTGATTTTGAAAGAAAACGTTTCACTGATAGTCAAATATCATGAGTTGCTTTATTATTGTATGTGCTCCTCCTTACTCTGCTATGGCTTTGGATTGAGTTCCATGGGACATCTGCTGACTATAATAACCAGCCAGAGTGGATCTCCCTTTAGTGCTAAGAGAATTGGCAATCCATTTAATGCAATAAAAATTCACCTCTGTAAACAATTTAAGGTATTTATGGAATTATGCTATTGTGAGGAGCTAGCAAAATGGAGCGTTTAATTATGGAAAGAACTGGAGATGTGAATTGATTTATACGTCATACAACCTTCATGGTCTCCATTCTTGGCTTGCTCAACAGTGTTTGTGTGTAGTTGATGCAGCAAACAGTGTGACTGATCTTTACCAGGGTGAATGACGTGTGCTGAAAGATCTGCAGGAAACTTTGCTTTAAAGGGCTGTTTGTTAGGGATGAATTGACACAGCATGTTTGGAGCTCATGTGACAAACTGGGCAAACATAAAAGCTGCGTGATGTTTGACTCTCAGCTCAAGAGTTGTTTAACAGAAGCGACTACGCTCCTCTGGTGGCTAAGTTTGTGAAGTCCCTGCCAAGGGACCAATTGAGCCCTACAAATGTGGACACTCTCTTGTGAGATCTCTGGTCCATGCAGAGTTTAGGTGAACACAGCCACAGAAGTAGTAAAAATGTTTCAATAAGATGTAGCACAGGACCAGGGAATAAATACAATTCCTCAGGGTATCTAGCTCCTTATCGAAGTCCAGAGATCCCTGCTAGAAAGTAATAATAATAATAATCCTTGCATTTGATATTGCGTTTTCATGTCTTCTCGACGTCTCAAAGAATAGACTGTAAAGTGAATTGACATATATTTGTGGGCGAAACGTGGCAGCCAATTGCGCACAGCAGTGTCCCACAAACAGTCGTGGATTGAAAATGACCAATTTATTATTGTTTTGTTTTGGAGGGATTATTATTAGACGTGTTGAGTAAGGAAATTTGCCCAAGGTTTCGCCCTGCCTGGAATTGAACCCAGGTGTCTCGCTTGCAAGGCGAGTGCTCTAACCACTGAGCTACAGGAATCCATAAGTGTGCCTATGTAGGATTAAGTGAGAAGAGAATTGAGCTTGGTTCCACAACACACTTGGCCAAAACTTACTATCTGGGGTCACACATGAGGGGTAGGCACTTAGGTAGGCTACTGGGGTTTCTGGAACCACTTAGCACTTTACAGTTTGTTGGGGAGGAAACTAAAGGCAAAATGTTTAAGAAGCAATGTGTTAGTTGATTGTTCTGCTCTGTTCTCAGTGCAAGAAGTACAGGGATCAGTTCACAGATCAAAGGAAAGCTATCTTTGAAGAAAAGCTGGAGGCAAGTGAGCTGTTCAAGGATAAGAAGGCTTTGTACCCAAACAGGTAAACTACTGTCAGCCATTGTAGGGACAGTGATAAATGCATCTTTGAAGTGACAGGCGTGAGACTTTAAAACCCAGGAAAGAGACATTTATATCTTACTGCTGATTAATGACCATATACTTCAATGCATTGCACCTACATGTTGAACTGATGGTATTCCATTGTCAGTCTAATGAAATCCTTTAGATCTCCTTTATTGTATGTTAATGATCGGTCTGCACACAGAAGTCTTAAAAAGGTAATCATTAACTTGCTTTAACTGCAAAATTTAGAGCATGCACATGAATTTCATGGGCCTTTGCTGACCCACATATATTCAATGGATTAAGTATCTAGACCACAATAAGGGACCTTGTTGTTTTACCAAAATGCAGGCCAGTACATGGAGGAAAAGGAATGTCTGATTTTGCTATGGGATTGCTATTGGCAGTCTGATAAATCACCATTGTACGTACATTCCCAATAATCATACATTGCAATGCAATTAGTTTGGGGCGTGCAATGGAAGGCTATCAGGGTGAAAGTCTTTCTAAATGCTGGAAAACATAACTGATGTCCACTTTAGTGTCACTTAAAACCTGCTAGACATTCTTAGCATAGTCTTAAAACAGTGCAAGGAACGAATGCGACACTGACTAGAAGGACGTTGAACAAAACTTGAAAATCTCAAGCCTTGTCCATATTGCTATCAGATGGCGACAGATTATAATGCTTTTTTAATGTTCCATTCATTGTGGTTTACAATGGAGCTGTGTGGTAATATCAACTCTTATTTTCAGTTCAAGGAAATAAACTAAAGGGGGAATAAATCTCTTTAAGCATTAAACTCCATCAGATTGTTAAATATTATTGTTACAGTGTGACGTGTTTTATCAGAGCTGTCAGGACTTTGAGCTCATGATCTAGCCTGACACTCCAGTGCAGTGTAGCAGTGCTGAGGGAGCACTGCATTGCTGGAGGTGCATCAGATGAGACCTTAAACCAAGATCTTGTCTGCCTGATTAGGTGAATGTTAAAGATGCCATGGCAATATAATAATAATAATAATAATCCTTGCATTTGATATTGCGCTTTTCACGTCGGGAGGACGTCCCAAAGCGCTTCACAGAACACACTGTAATGTGAATTGACTGTATATTTGTGGGCGAACCAGCAGCCAATTGCGCACAGCAATGTCCCACAAACAGTCGTAGATTGAAAATGACCAATTTATTATTGTTTTTGTTATTTTGGAGGGATTATTATTAGGCTCTGTGTGGAGTAAGGAAACTTGCCCAAGGTTTCGCCCTCTGCCTGGAATTGAACTCAGGTTTTTCGCTTGCAAAGCGAGTGCTCTAACCACTGAGCTACAGGACTCCACAAAAAGAGAAGGGAGCTTGTCCTAGCTAACAATTCCCCAAATAAAATGAATCATTCACTTGCTGGCTATTTGGAAAATGGCTGCCATGTTCGCCTACAAAATACAGTTCCAGTAAAACTCTGTGAAGTGCTTTGAAATGTATGATGATGTGATGAGACACTATATGAATGCAAATATTTGTATTATCTTCGCTGTCTCCTTACTCCAGAGACAAGATCCATCATTGTTGCTGAAGTATATGAAATTTCACTTCAATTTATTGAGAATAATGGTCTGATATAGGTATCTGGAGGGTCAGTGGAACAATGGGCTAATTCTCTGCATTTTCACCTGTCTATTCTCCCATTTCAGTGTTTCTCAGCCTTTCCAAGGGGATTATCTGGAAATCAGTAAAAACCCCAAATATCAGAAGCTGAACATTGCTGTGGAAGACAAGGTTGTTCTAGCAGATATTGTGAACAAGATCAATCGAGCCAATGGCAAGGTCAGAGTAAATCTTTTTTATCACAGGGTTTTGTTGTGGTGTTAATGTTCTGGCATTTCAAAACAATGTAGTATTGTGCCTCAGTGGGTAAATCCATTACCTGATGTGGTACTGAGACATTCAGACCCGGAAGGGCCCAGGGTTGATCCCCAGTTTGTGTTGTGTTGTTGGCTGCTCTCTGCCGGGATGTTACAACCTGCCTCAGGGAATCTGAGGCAAAGGGGAAAGGAAAAAAACTCAAGCTGGAGAATCCATCTAGTGACCTGCTTGATCAGATCAGGATAAGATCAGGTTGACTGTTATGCTTTTCCCATGCATGATGAAGTAATCTTCTCACCACCTTGATTGTCTGACAGAAGAAGAACGATCACTTGTGGTGCTAGAGGCTGTTGAGACTAAGATGAATCATACGCCAATATGAGTTACTACGCACAGGAGAGCAGTGAAAAATGGGGTAAAATATGGAGTGTATGTGTAGAGGGGGGAAGCACTAAAGTATTTTCTTGTTTCATTTAGAAGCTGTTGGATAGAATGAGGTTATTGTAATCTATTCGATACACACTGAAAGATGCATATGAATGTGGTTGTGAAGCATGCTCTGGAGTTCCATGGTCACTTCTGCTTCCAGTGGACCAGACTCCAGCTTATGTTCACATCAGATCCTTGGGGAAAAGCAACCAGTTCCTTGTTAAATATAGTGTCATTCCTGGACTTGGCGACTATAAATGGTTGTCAGTTTGATCTGTAGGAGCTTTAGTTGTGCAGTGCACTGGATATCCAGGAGAGGGAGTTAAATCAAAAGCATCCTCATTAATGACTACAGCTCAAATCCATTCCAGCCTTTCTGTATTGACTATTCCTCTTGCCTGTTTACAGGGAGCTCCCAGGATCTTTCTGTTGACCAAAAGCAATTTCATCATCGCGGATCAGAAGTCAGGGCAGATCAAATCCACCATTCCTGTGACCGACATCACCAGTGTGTCTGTCAGCAAGCAGATAGATGGACTCTTTGCTGTGCACCTTAAAGAGGTGAGTGCTCCACAGATAAGACATTGAGTATTGTTCCACACACAGAGCAACCAGCCGAATAACACTATTGTTTGTTGAATGTGAATTTATTATTGAAGTGGGTTTAATAAGACTGTAAGAGAAAATAATAATCACTCAGGCCCTCCTCCAAAGCCCTCCAAATAGGTATATTTGCCATTTCCTGATTTACTACTGCTAGATTTATGGTTTAAAACTTTTTGAAATACAAAAAAAGGATTTAAAAGTCTTAATATTTTTTACTGGGAACCTGTGTGCGGGGCTGAGACCCACAGGACAAGTCAAGAAAAAAAGAGGACTGTTGAAAGAGGACAAGTATAGGGTGACCAAAATTGCATTATACCATTAAAATGTCTTAATAAGTCTCTAAAGAAATTATGATAATTATTAGTTATTATTAAAATAACTGGTATCAGGACTTTTTGGTCACCCTGTATATCTCTTCTGCCTGCTGAGAATGTTCATTTTATGCTCCACAGGATTGAAAATCAGCCTACTTGATATGTAAACCCAATTCTATCTTCGCTATTCTAGTTCCAGGTAGTCAATATCAAACACTACTTCCCCAAATTCTGCCGTAGCGAACAACTCGCGTTCCTGTAACTTTGTGAAAATCGTGCGATTGCAAATTTACGGTTCGAAAAATAGAGGCTGTGAGTCTGAGACGTGTCCCTTTGAAACGTGCACTTCACAGACTTGGCTGTCACGTTGCTCAGTCTTGTGTTGCCCCATCACCATGTGGAAGCTCCCAGTGAACAATGACAATGCTACAGCTCCTTCTGTTGACAGGAAAAGGTACTGAGCCACTGAAACTTGCTGATTCACCTCTTTCAGCACTGGGGTGATTCTGTATTTTTCATTCACCAGTCGCTCGGTAAGACTCTGGGGTCAAAATTTCTTAATTTGCAACAAGCTCTTTACAACAACAACAGAACTACATTTGTAAAGCGCTTTTCACGTCGGGAGGACGTCCCAAACTCGTTCATGCTGCTGGGAACTTGGGCTGAGACTCTGGGTAGATCCATTTCCAGCAAACAGAGAGACATGGCTTTCAGTCCCAGTGTTGAAGAAAAATTGCAATAGCCCTCGAAAAACCCAGGCCACCACATACACTGTAAAGGTGCATACCCTCAGAAATCAGTTTCAGGTCAATCATTTTTTTTATCCACAGGCAAATAATCTGGAGGTTATGTTCCACGATCACAAAAATTGGTCTGGGTGAAGAAGGCCCATGTGATCTCATCCTTCCAGAACACCCACCTTAAATCATAACAATCAAGATGCTTTTCAAAATAGTCCCGTGTCCTGGCCTCTATCACCTTTCCTGGCAATTTGGTCCAGTCGTTGATTGCCCTCTGTGTAAAGAAAAAACTTCCTCTTCTGTAAAAGTGAATCCTCTGTTGTGTCAGTTACAGGAGCACTAATCCCAGCTTTCTTTTTCTCACAGGGCTCTGCAGCTGCTGCTAAGGGTGATTTTCTGTTCAACAGCAACCGGTTAATTGAAATTATAACCAAGCTTTACCGCATGATTCACTTTGTCACCAAACAGAAAATAAAAGTCGAGATAAACGATGAGTAAGTCCAGTGTATGTTGGTTTTAAGTTTCTGCAAAGGAGTGAATGTTGAACTGCCCGTTTCTAATGACTGCCATTTTTAATTCTCAGAAAGCTGCTGTGTTTATATGGCTTTTCAGCTGTCATTACAGTCTGTGAGTTTACAAGAGGAATGTTACCATGGATACTTGTCAAGAGCAGAGCTCCTGCTCACAGTGACTGAAGTATATCCTCTGCGCTTGAGTGAAATGTAACTTAAACGTTGGGCAAAAGAGCAAGATAACTGATACTTCCCGTCCAGTATTGTCTGACGTTTGAACACCAATCCTTCAACCCACAACAATCTTGTCACTTCCTGCGCCCTTGGTGGATATGAATCCCTGTATGTCAAGAGATGGGGAAACAACTGGGAAGCTCCATGTAGGTATAGTTTCACTCTATTTTGGAGTGTCCAGAATTTGACAAATCGTTCAAATTGCTCTTAAGTGCTTTCTGATCTCCTCCCACTATGAAAGGTGTGGTATGAACGTAAATTGTTTTCCAATTTCAAAGTTGGGGTTTCCTCCCTAGTTCTTCAAAGAACCTGCATAAAACACGGCTTGAAAACGAAGAGAAAACGTGAGCTTTTGCCAAACTCTGGGCACTTGGAAATGCTAATAAAACAAAGTGAATGTGAACCAAGGTGGAGATTCTCACCCCTATCACTCCAGTTCCACGTCCCCAGGCTCCAGAAGGAGATTATTCCCAATGCCCTTTAAAATACACGCCAATTTTCTTTTAAAAATGTATTCAAAAATCTATTTGAAAGATTTCCGAGTGAGCAGAACAACGTTTTAGTCATCAAATGTATTTTAGTCGTAGAATGTATTCTATTATTTTCTATTGTCCATGAGCCTTTTGTGGCTGGGCTGGTGGGCGATGGTTTAATGTAAGCCTTGAGGACGTGGCATGTGAAACCAGGCTGAGAAGCCAGTGTGTTTCACAGGCTGCTTTCTTTAAAGCTTGATGGGTCTGTTTGAAGGTGTTGGCACGATCTAAGAAACAGTGCCGCTCTCTGCACTGACTGCTGGAGCAAACCTAGTTCCACAATTCGTACCATCTTATCACTTTAACCATCAGTTGGCCATTTGTACAGTCCATTGCTTTCCAAAAAAGCATTTAAAACCTTTTTTTTTCTTGATATCCAGTTCAATGGAGCCGTGATTTATTTACCCTTTGGTACCTAAATGAAAAAAGGGAATGTTCAGATGTCAACTTGGTAAAAGCGATCGCAACAATAAGAAAAACAATTTTGAGGAACCGAATGTGAAGCAAGTGCTGACCATTTCCTTAAGCACTTAAGGGAACACAAGTCCCTTCGTTGCGGTTTCTAACACCTGAGCCTTTGCCTCTGGGGCTCCCCTGCCAGCAAAGCCAACTTGCTGTACCACCCCTGGCTGCTTTGTGGCACAGTGCCAGTCTCATAGGCAGTTCATCTTATTCCTTTGATTCCATTGGTAAAGATTTACTTTGCTGGTGCTATACAAATGTAATTTTGTTGTTGCTGTTGTTGTAAGGATCCCATTTGTAATTTCATGAGCAGTGGTTGCCGAACTGGGGGCAGGGGGAGCTCGTGCCGGGGGTGGGGAGGAAGTTTCACTATTAAACAAACTATAACACGGATTCCGCGTGCACTTCATCAAGGGGCGTTGCTTGTTTTCTCACTCCTGAAGCTGTCAATCACATTAGAGGCTGTCCCTCTCCTAGGCTGTCCTAGTATTGGCTGGTGATTAAAGGGACTATGTTCCAATACTAAAGATTTGTGTTACGGAGGGTTGTGACTGTTGTTGAATGATTAATATATCGTGGAGTCCTGCAGCTCAGTGGTTAGAGCACTCGCCTCTCAAGCGAGAGACCTGGATTCGATTTCCGGCAGGGTGACACCTTGGGCGAATTTTCTTACTCCACACATCTGATAATAATACCTCAAGAAAAAAACCATTATTTGTTTACTCAGTCCACGACTGTTTGTGGGACACTGCTGTACACAATTGGCTGCCGCGTTTCGCCCACAAAATATACAGTCAATTCACTTTACAGTATATTCTGTGAAGCACTTTGAGACGTCTAGAAGACGTGAAAAGCGCTATAACAAATATGAGGATTATTATTATACTTGTTTAGTATTTCAACAATAAATTTGCATTCATATAGCACCATTCATATCAGAAGAACATCTCAAAGTGCTTCACGTAGCTGAGTAGGAGCCCGAACTGGGGGAGGGGGAGTGGAGAGAGAAGGTGGTTTAGGGCACAGTCGAAAGTTGATATTGGATTTTATCCATTTGAACAAATTTTCTAATGGGCGGGTATACACATGTGGGTTACACCATGACGTCTGTCGATGTTTGGCAATGAAAATGTGGGTGTTTTGTTTTTCAGGTTTCTGGTGCAGTTCAATCAGGATAAAGTCTGTGTGAAGTTTATTCAGGGGGCACAGAGGAATGGCAACCTGCCTGCGTGTAAGCGGAAAAATAATCGTCTCCTGGAGGTCACGGTTTCTTAACCACTCCGGCTTGCACCAGTCTGGGACAGTTTCTTACTGCATGCCTACATTATACATTCTTTGTCTGTCCATTTTCCTGACGCTACGACTGGCTGATAATACTTGTGAAATGTAAAACAAGCAAAAGTTAACGTCAGTCTTTCTTCTAAAACCGCTTTTTAAAAAAGGATGGGGTGGGGGTGGGGGGGTGGGGTGATTATGGTGGTGGGAGGAAGGTCTTATTTGTGTTTTTATCTTAACAAGGATTCCTTATTGAGCAGTCCCTCAGCCCCATGGTAGTAGACTGTATCAGAACGGCAGTCCCATGAGTCACAGCGCTGAGGGTACCAGAAGGAGCCCCATTTGCGGGACTTGGATTTCTTATTACGGAATCGGGTTAAGAAATACCGCAAATTAAACCCGGACATTTCTCCTTTCAAAACCTCCAGGCGCGAAGCCCCTTCGAAAAACTCCAGGCAGGAAAAGAGTTAAGGGTTCTATTTAAAAGAGTAAAAAGTGTCAGGCAGATTTTTGCAGTGTGGCCACATATATGAGCTGGACCTTAGCTAAACGCCTAGGTGTGCAGAACATATGTTGTGTATAGGCTGAGCATTCTGCGAGACAGAAGTGGGCTTTTTTTAAAAAAAAGTTGAAACATTACTGAAGAAGCGAGTTGTGCCATTGTGATAGCATTAATTAATACCTTGTGACTTTGCATTGTAAAACAAAGAACACAGCAGTTTGCTGCTGGTTGTGGGATCACCTTATAATGATCGGGGTGCTGATGTGTGTACGGGATATCTGCTAGTGCTTTTTAAAGTAAGACAAAAATTTCCGCATTGTATGTATTGCACAATGGAAAATGCAGATTCTGAAGCAATTTTAAAGGTTATTTATGTTGAAATTTCTGGGCGAGTTCTGAAGTACAGCCTGCACTGACAGCTACAAGCAGCTAACAGGCCAGTTTAACTCTTACTACAAATCGTCTGCTGACATTTGTAAGATTTACACTACAGAGCTCTTTTTTTNAAAAGAAGTGAAATAATGAATTGCGATTCAGTGGTTCTTCAGTAAGGGGAGATGCGATTGTAAATATGTTGAATCTGGTTTTATGATCCTCTGATGTCTGTTATTGTGATTAATGCTGTTTTGTTATGCTGTAATGTTAACCCCATTTTATATTTAATATCTCTTCTGAGTTCTTCATGCCTGCAGCATTTGTGTATCGGAGTACAATCGGAAACCGCATTACACAGGGTTCAAAGTAATTGTTTGCCTTTTATAAATCTGTTAAATTCACTTGGCTCTCGTGTTTTCTGTCACTGGAAGTGGAAAGTGCAAAGCTGGCGAGAGTAGTTGCAGAAAGGAATATGTCCAGTTCAGTGCGGGTCAAGATCTGAACTGATCGCAAAGCGCTCGTTTGTTTAAATGGAGTAAGATTGACACAACTTGGGGTGTTACTTTTAAATAGTAACTAATTCCATACGGGTAAGAGTTAAGAACATTGAGATCTCAAGTGTGGTGCAATCTAACTGGGTCCCGTAATAAGGAAACAGTAAGTATGTCACAATGATCTGCAGGAGCGATCTACTTTTGAAGCTGAGTTCTTGCGGCTCAGGAATAGCTTCTTCGATGTACTTACGGTTACCCGGCAGAATTCTGGTGCAGATTTCTTATTCAGCAATTGCATTAGTGAGGTTCGGGCACTGAGCAGCAAGCTGCTGAACCCAGTATTTGCAAAACTAAAGGAATAATAATAATAATAATCCTTGCATTTGATATAGCTCTTTTCACGTCGGGAGGACGTCCCAAAGCGCTTCACAGAACACACTGTAAAGTGAATTGACTGTATATTTGTGGGCGAACGCGGCAGCCAATTGCGCACAGCAATGTCCCACAAACAGTCATAGATTGAAAATGACCAATTTATTATTGTTTTTGGTTTTGGAGGGATTATTATTAGGCATGTGGAGTAAGGAAACTTGCCCAAGGTTCCCCTCTTTGCCTGGAATTGAACTCAGGTCTCTCGCTTGCAAAGTGAGCTCTGACCACTGAGCTACAGGACTCCACCTGAACTCCTTGTGAGAAAATGTTTGGCAAGACAGAATTTTCTGTCTCTCTACCGCCCCACCCATCCTATCACCACATCACATAATGATGTCAAATGCAAGAAACATCACCCAACATTTCAATCTGAATTAGGCTGTTGCACCACCAATAGACGATTGCATTGCGTGTTGATCATCAAACAAAAAACAGCATGCCAAGCATTTTGTGAAGGATTAAAGTGCTCCTTTAATTGGAAAGTCACTGAAAGTGATCTCCATATTTGGCTATTTTAAAGGCAATTTGTTCTATGTTTGGGTGGGAAGGGAGGGGAAGGCGTGGAAGGATTCTGAAGCATTGTGTGGGTGCTCCATAGTAACCTCGTAAAAGGAGAAGGCAGTGTTATTGGGCAAATAAATGGAAATGTAGCTGGAGAAAGGTTTAACATTCACTTCAGAGAGAGAAGACCAAGAGCACTCATAGCTTTCCTTAACCACTCATCCATAAATGATGTGAGTTAATCGGTTTTGTTACTAACACATAGCACAGAAGTACAGTAAAGATACTCCACATACTGCACAAAGTTTGGTAAAGTATTATATAATTCAACACAACTGTTCATCCACTTTGTATAACTTATATCCATACATTAAGTGGGGTAGAAGTGTTGTGACAGTTTGATTTGTATGTGTTCAACCTGCAGTGCTCTGTCTGCACAAATGATTCTTGAGTCCACTCTGAACCCACTTCTGGCCTTGGATGGCATTCAGAAAAATTTCCATTCTGCAGCTCAGGCTCTACTTGTTCTGTCAGCAAAGAATCTCAGAAGGAATTCCAGCTGCTTCTACAAGTTTCCATTGCGCTTTCTAAGTTTTAGGTTTTAAATAATAATCCTAAATAGCATCAGGAGGATGCCTTAGAGCGCTTCACAGGATATACTATAAAGTGTAGTGACTGTGTATTTTGATACACAGTCGAATGTCCTGCAAACAGCCATGAAGTGAATGCCCACATTTATTTGGGGAAAGTAACAGAGGTCACCATTTCTTTAAATAAAATGTAACGCGTGCAGTAATAAGAGAAAAAGATCCATCGGGAATTAGGAGAGATTCTGTGGTACCACTAATACAATATGATAGTTAAATGGAGTTAGGATAGTCAGGAGGATTGAAAGGTAGCTCAGATGAGTTGGCATTGCTCTTGCTTATGGGTCAGAAGGCTCACAGTATTGGAGAAGGTGTGACTGGGAATGCGTTGTATTGTTGGAGCTGTAGTTGTAAGTTTAAGAGTTTATTTAATTTTTTTTAAGTCTCAATTCGTTTTTTGCGAATTGCAGTTATTGCAAAATAAAGTGCTTGGAATCGTTTTACAAGTTTGCTGAAAGAATTGATGTGGGTAATTTTACTCTTACTTGTTTTGTCATTGCTGCTAAGCTTGAAATCCTGCTGAAGAAACCCTGTTAGCTTAAAAGGCTTTTAAACAGGTTTTGCATGGTTAAAAATGATTTGCGTATGGGATATCGCCAGATTATTCATGACAAACTTGCTAGATCTATTGTCCTGTTCTAAATTTTTAATCAATAGCTGGATGTTCAACAAACTCAGGCCCACTGCACATACCTCATCCATTTTACCCAATATTGGCAGCCAAGCCTTCAGCCAATAAATACTTTTGTTTAGCTTCCCGAAAACCTGCCTGTCTAACCATGCTAACCCACTACTCTACCATCCCTGCTCAGTTCCCAGCACCATCTGTGTAAAGCAGTTTGAGATGACAGCCTACAGGAAAGGCCCTATTTGAATGCAAGTTGATGTTAGTTATTCTGAATTTTGAATCATTGTGGAGGGAAGAGATCCTGCAAAACCTCTCTTGTTCTTTTAAAATGGATGTGTGACTCGACCAGCGTTTTGTCTGATGTAGTGAACAGTGAGCAAAGGTCAGCTGTCTTAATGCATTGTTGGCAGCTTAATGGAGTTTCCTTTCACTCCAGATGTTTTAAATCAGAGTTGGGCAAAGGCTGGTGGTAAAGTCCAGGCTGACCGTGGATCTGATTGTTAATTGTCCCCCAGGACCGTTTATGACAAATTGCACAGTGAAAATTAAAAATAACTGCAGTCTTTGTTGGTCTTTGCAGCGTTCCCACCATCCAGTTTGCTGGGAAAATGATTACACTCTCAAAAGGTCTCTGTGCAGTGAAACATGTTGGAATCCAACCAAGGATACCGGTGACATTAGCTGTTTGGAACTAATTTTTTAAAGGCATGTTCCTTAATAAAAAGGGATTCCAGCCATTAAAAGTATTATTATTGCTTCAGTTGCATTGCAAAAGGGTTCACGCCTCATATATGGAGGGGAGGCAACATGTATGACCTCACTATGCTGAACTCGATACTGACAACATCCACAGACTGAGGACATTTGCATCACTTTGGATTGCAACTGGGTCAAAAAGTAAGTCTACAACTGTCACAATCATTCCTTGTTCATAGGGAGGTACCATGATCATTTTCTTTAATGAGTTAAATGCAGATAGTGGAACTGGGGTTCCTCAGAGAACCCACTAAATGAAAAGGACTTTGCAGAATTGAACCATTCAGTACTGGGTAGTATTCCTCTGTGTACAGTGCATTAGTTCTCTTGGTCCAAAATTGACTATACGTTTGTTGAGATAAATGATCAGAAATAAACAATGTTCACCTGAGACTTTGTGTAGATTTACGCAGGGGACTTACTACCCCTTTAACAGAAGCAAATAATCTGGGCATTGCTGAGGGCCTGAGCTGACTACTCCTGGTGAATGCGATGGGGATGTCACCTTTTTCCTAAGATCTGCGGTGGTGAATGGTTGGAGGCCCTGGGGACAACCAACCTACTTTAAGCTCTTCTATTGTGAAGAAACTTAAACCTTTATAAAACGAGACGGGTGAATTAGAAAGCCTCACTGTTTGATCTTTGCTGCCTTTGATAACTTACTGCAGCCCGAGACCGAACCTGAAACCAATCCGGCTCAGTTTCACATGGCCTCGAGCCTTTTTATCGGGGTACACGGGTCTGAACAATAAGGAACCCAGAACTTTAAACAGGCCTTGTGAGGACGCTGCATCTCAAATTACTTGCAGGATAATAGAAATGGAGCAGTTGGAAAGTACATAGAA